TTGATGAACCATGTGACTCTAAGCGCCAATTTAAAACTCGTCAAAAAGAATGGCAAGACTCACGGACGATGCCGACTAGGCTGTCGGTAAAAAGTCATGGGATTTAACACATTTGCTATGATAGAGGATGCATGTCAAGTCCTAAAAACGAGGTCAGAACAACTATATACAGCAACCGGGATAGAAACTGAAGCCTAAGTCTTCAAAATCTGCAATAACTCTGCGATATTTTCTGAACAAGTTATAAAAAAGGAAATCTAACAAAACACACACAATGGGAGGAGATTTGTTTTCTTTCTAATAACTAGAATCCAAAGTAAATTATGAAATGGTTTTTTGTAAACGACTTACCACTAAAAGCAGCCATGTCTAATGCAACTATATGTTCATCCGGAGAGTTATTATTTCTCTTTAAGCCGTCAGCAGTAAGAGCCATCTGACCCGAAGCTGAGTCTCCCGCTGCATCTGGTTGACAGACTACATGTTCTATTGGCTCATCAGGTATAGCTCTGCTCAATCCTATGCAGGTGCCAATCGAGACCGTGGTGGGCGACGAGGAGATAATTGGTTCAGCCTCCTCGACTGACTCATCTTTGGGATAAATCCAATTATCTGGAACTGGCCATGAGTTAACATGACTATCTGGTGAGGCATCTACAGGCAAAATGTCGCTTTCCACGCTTGCTTCTTCTGCTGTCCGATTATAAGACTCGTAACAAGTCAACGCTGTGGAACTATTAACCTCAGAGCCTTCTGTATCCTGCAACTGGTGTTGCCCGCCAGTCGAGCATGAGGCGACAGGCTCATCTTCGAGTCGAGAGGAAGGACTAGCCGAGTTAGGAGGTAAATATGTTGCGGAGTCTCTAATGGAGTCGGATTCCACCTGGTTCCAGCACCAGGCCTGCTTAATCTCCAGCCAGTTTTGCTGTGGACCGATTATGGAGCCAGGCCGGCAGATGCGAATCCAAGCGATTGCCTCAGCTGCTGTGAACTTATAGTGCTTCATCAGATAACATGCGATCAGGCTACCGGTACGACCGAGTCCGGCTGAAAATTAATTTGTTTAATTCAATATTTATAGATTAAAAATTATCGAAATCTCAAAAGCGCATATGTACATATTATAACTCAATGCTTTTAATCATTAATTTTCTGCACAAGCCCATGCTAGCCGATTAGCTTTGGGAAAGACAACAGAAGTTTTAGGTTGTTCAATACTAGCTTTGCCAAGTAAGGCTAATTCACG